TGTGGGTGGGTTGCATGGGATTAAGCAATTGATACACTATTTTGCTTTACCATACATTAATAATAACTCTCACTGACTTAGACTATATTTGCATATTTGTATATTTTGCGACTTGATTAATTGACAATAGTATTCTTTGAATGTGAACAGAATGTTATCGATAAACTGAATTTACTTTTCTGTATAGTATAGCGTTGACTGGAAGCAGGATTAGTTAGAATGAATGATAAGCAGCTTAATCCTGGCGTATTAAGTCTTATCTTCGATCACTCACCTTTTTGAGCTGAATAGATCATTATCCACTAACTAGAGATGAATGGTAAAATTTTTTATTTTAATAGAATATTTCCTTTACTTTGTCATCCAGTTAGGCTAATATTCGCGCATAATTTGCTTGTTTAATTACGTTTGTCAATCATACATGCAATAAATGCATATATGCTTACAGTATTCTCCTATCAAGTGATCGCTTATCTTACAGCTGCTGTTCAAGCAAATCTTTCAGTGGATAATAACATTCATATTTCCTTTACTGTCAGATTGCACTATAAGCTAACTTTCAATATCTTTCTTTACTCATACTACCGACGATAACTAATAATCATCGCGCAGTAAGTACTGCTATCACTTTTTATAGTAGTCTACAGGAAAACTGTACATAAAGGCTGCATGATGCAGAAATGTGGATTCTGCCATGACTAATCTATTGATTTGCTTTTGCATTTGTAAAGGAACAGGAAATATGCAATCGTGCAAATATTCCATACCTCAAAGGTTTAATTTGATTAGATTGTGAGCTATAGACTCTATGGATTAAATTATCGCTTCTTGAGCTTTAAGCTAGAAATACTAGAAAATATGTTTTGATCCAATATTTTCCTAGTTAATTTATCGTAAACTTTTGGCCAGATATCGAAGTATGCTTCTAAAAGAGTGTCTGCAATTTTCTGTATTTAAACTATAACAAAAATTGAAATAAATATTAACTAAGCTAAGATGCAGACATTTAATCCGATTCGAAATTAGTACTTATCAACTACTTCCTGTTCGATCTTTACCTGCTCAAACTAAGTTATTTTATATCATTCTGCAGTAAATGATTTTAATTTTAATAGAAATTTGAAATTGTTGTTGGTTGCAAATTATATACCATGGGGAAGAATCTTTTCTAAATCTTAATTGAAGATTCACAGAGCATAAAAGCAAGCTATCATTTCGTATATCTTTACAAAAATAGTTAAGTATAATTTATCAATCTTGGCACTTGGCTAATATTTATATGCCTATTAATTAATAATAAAGTGCTAACATAACACAATTAAATACAATTTACTTACATTAAGCCATTTCTGATATCAGCAACCGATAGTCGCTATCAACATGCACATAGATATAGTGATTTGCTATAAAAATACAATTCACGTTTTGATTTGTAGTTACACAACGTTGCCCTTTTTATCCTCTATTTAAATCAGCGAATTCTTATAAAACGGTTAAATGTTATTATATCGCAGTATCATTCTTTGGATGAGTAATTGTAGCATAAAATCAATTTGTTAAAGTTTATGATATCATAGAACTCCAACAGATACTGTTGCACCAGGAAGGATCATTTACTTTAAAATTATTACAATTTTTTGAATTGAGCAATACGCTTTTACTTACAAAGGCAGCTGATTATATTTTTTTGTTAAAGCATTCCATTTGTACAGTTTGAGAGGGTTTAATCGATAGTGTCTCTGTTTCGGGCTTCTGCTTCTAATAGCATGCCTAGTTTATTAAGGGATTTAACCTGATGTTCTTGCAATAATTTGCAAAATTTGTAAAAATCGCGATCTTGCCGTTGCTGCAAAAGTAAAATAAAGGCATAATTTCTCTCTTTCTGGCCTCGAATTTCTTTCAAATAGACGACATTATCATCGCTAAGTACACGATCTATTCTTAGATCATATATTAATTCAAGCAATGGAATGGATTCCAAAATAATTTTCAAATGCTTATTTATGACTCGAATGATGTCCAAGCTCATTTCTAATTTCCTATGAGCTATTAAGAGCAGAGAAAAATAGACATTATATACAATTACATTTTCGATATGAATTGAATTCGAAGCCAATAAATTTTTAACTTCAAATTAACATGGATAAATTATAACCATGATATGGTTTATTATATTACAGCTAAATCAGGAGTCAGTTTAAAAGATCTGGCTAATATCCAAGTCTGCTTTTAATTTACTGCTAGAATAAAAATTTTATCTTAATATCGATTGTATTTATTGTCACTTGTCCTAAAGTAAAAGTGATCTGGTAGACGCAATAGAATGTCTTTTAATGTATGATAAATCTTGTACCACATGTTTTGCAATATAGTCCTTATAGGCACTTATTTTAATATAATGCTTCTTTTAAATTGTGCATTTGAGAATGTTTTATCGAAGATAGAAATAATTATCTTCATCTGTAAAGATAATTTAATCGTTAGAACTATTAAAGCAAGTCTGGAAGAGTGACGCTAATTCGCTACTATAGTAGCTTCAATTTTCCCTTGCTATGATACGATATCTTTTTAAAAATTATGTATTCGAACAATTATTTTAATGTTAGAAAATTTAACGCTATAAATAAACAGTAATTTAAT